CCAGAACAAAACAAACGTTAATTAATTCCAAGATATCGGTTTTCTTAATTAATAATAGTGGCTTTGTATTATTGCGATGAGTGTAATTCACAGAGTCTTTTTCATCAAAACATGGTAAAATTATGTATCTATATATACTAACTACGTAATAAATTAATAATCCAAGGTTGTTCATATTAACGCGAAATTTTAAATAACCATCGGATTAGATCATAGTCTTAAAATATAAATTGAACATGATAAACAGCTGTACAACAACTAATTAACAAGAGTTTCTAATTGAATATAGGATGTCTCGATCTACTTCAAAGTTCAAAGACTTTTTATCATTAAGAATATTTTATAAAACTATTATAAAATGCAATATGAAATACAAAAATTTGAATTTATATATTAATCCCAGAAAAAAAATCTAGCAAAAAAAAAAACATTAAATATTTGCAATTTAAACCAAAAAAAGAGAACCAAACAAATCATAGAAACAAAATCAAAAGTCAAACTAAAGACAGTAGATACAAAGCCCAAAAACGAAACAAAAATCGTCGACTTAGACTTGGGTTAGATATCTATACGAACAAATGTTACCAACCAAGACTTAACTCATGGACGATCTAAGCTACTTGAATCGGACAGTACCAGTCCAAATCACACGATCATAAATGACTACTTTCAAAGTTCAAAGACTAATTTCACTTCTTTTTTACATACTTAAATGACTACTTAATTTTCCGATAAAAAAATTAGCTTTATGCAAACGTTTACATTAAATTATAAAATTCTTTTTTTTTTTTGGCTGCTTAGTAAGACAGAGTTCTACACCCAAAAACTTATTCATTCCTATCTATTTAGTTTTAGGTCACATCACATGAGGAGCTTGAGTATAATGATTCTCCAGAATATGAGGGCATATATATAACCGAAAGAGGTTTCCATTATTGAAAAGCCTTAATACGCCATTGAGTACTGAAAACGTATTGATATATGACCAGATCAAGTTTTTGGACATTGTATTGTGTTTAGGTGGCGTGAGCCTTTCTTTTGCTGCACTGATGTGTATTTCTTTACAAGACAATGTTCATGGCATTTTCTTTCTTTTTTTTAAAAAGACATTGTTTATGGCATTGTGAAATAACATATGTTTCAAATTGAAGAGGCCCTGATTAAGATTTCTTGAAAGAAATCTTTATACGCTCTCTTCTCTCTTACTTTTTTTGTGTTTGCTTTTATTTTCTCTTTTGGGTATAAATTACCATTTTGTTATATTCTGTGTCGACAAAACATGATTTCCTGTTGTATAGGTTAGGGACAAAGCTAAAACAAAAGGAACTTTAATCATTGACTGATCTCCCATTAAAATGCTTCAAAGGTTGTTTAAACAAACTATATATTATTATTCTATTTTGTTTTATGAAAAGGACAAGCTAACGCCAATGTTTGAAAAAAAAAATACTAAACATGGATTATAAGTTTCTAACTAAAGGATTTATTGTATTCTTGGGGAGATGATAATGGGTGTTTTATTGGGGATTTTAGCTTTAGATCTTGATGAAGTTACTAATGGAATGTATCATCCGACCAATTATGAAAGATTGATCCCTACACAATAATAAGCAAATCTCACACATGTGTGAGACAAGTTGTATGGCTTTTGAGTTTGATTGATCTCGAAATTTATGTCAGAACTCAGAAGCATCCTATGTCGCATCATTAT